TCTTTCAAGCTTGTCATCGAGGCCCTTCTTTATCTTGAACACCTATTTACAACCAACGATCTTTCTACCTTTTGGTAGCTCGACCAAATCCCAAGTCTTGTTTCTTTGAAGGGTCAATATCTCTTCTCCCATCGCTCTTTTCCAATGTTCGATACCATTGTTATCAATGGCTTTACGGAATGATGTTGGCTCTTTATTTTCGATTATCAAAGCATGCAAAGTATTTGGATCCACATAATCTTTGTACCCCCGAGTCCACGAGTTTCTCTAGTAGAGCGCCTATATGCCAAAGGCACAATTTCATCATGAAGGCCATGTGGTTCTTCATCTTAGCTTCCTAGTTCTTCATGCTCTTCACTATGATTAATGAGAATATTTTCACAAGGCATAGTTACACTTGGTGGAAGTATTTTGGCTTTGCTTTCAAATTCTTGGCCCTCTAGTTGCACTTCTTGAACATTGTCCTTCATCATCATCCTTTTTGCCAATAACTTGATTCATCAAAATGCACACCACGGCTAGTGATTATTTTTCAGGTACTTGAATCCCATAACCGGTACCCCTTCACACCCTTGATATAACGCACAAAGATGCACTTCTTTGACCTTGGATCCAATTTATTCCTTGGGCAACTTAGAATAAGTGCATATCCATCACAACCAAAAAATTTTAAATCGGAGCAGTCACTTGGAGTTTCATACCATACCTTATTAGGAGTTTTGCTATCCAATGTTACCGAAGGTGATCAGTAGATAAGATAACAAGTCATTGATACGGCTTCGGCCAATAATTCTTGTTCTATGCCGGCATTGCTTAACATGCACCTTGCACACTCCATCAAAGTGCGATTCATACTCTTGGCCACACTATTTTGTTGAAGATTGTAGGCATTTATGTAATGCCTAGTAATTCCCTCAGCCTTGCAATAATTTTCGAACTCCTTTGAAACAAACTCTCCACCATTATTGGCCCGAAAAACTTTGATGTGATGCCCCGTAGATTTTTCAACTCCAGCTTTAAAATTCTTGATACACAAAATACATCACATTTAGACTTGAGAGTTTTGATCCATATATTTCTTGAGAAGTCATCAATAAATGAAACAAAATATAATGTGGCTCCATAAGATGTAGTTGGTGAAGGGCCAGATGCATCCAGGTGAATGTAATCAAGTTTATACTTGTTTGTAGGCTTCTCGGCCTTGAAAAGTTGTCTATATTGTTTCCCATAAACACAATGCTAATAAAATTCGGATCCATCAATTTTAAGTGTAGGAAAAAATTCCTCTTCATCAAGACATTCATACCCTTATCACTCGTATGCCCCAATCTTCTATGCCATAGGCAAAATGGAACTTCCTCACCTTCGACCGCGGAATTAATTTCATCCTTTATTATTGTGCTTCTCAATAACTTGTACAAGCTTCCAACTAAGACTTCTTTCATCACAATTAAAGCCCCTTTTGATACTTTGATTACTCCACCTTGACTGATGAACTTATAACCTTCCTAATCTAGAGAAGATAGGGAAATCAAGCTCTTTTTTAGTTCCGACACATGCCTAACATCCTTAATTACCCAAATAGTCCCATCAAACATTCTTAGGTAAATCGAACTCATTCCAACCACCTTGCTAGTGGAATTATTACACATGAATACGGATCCTCCTTCACATGACTTATATGAGTCAAACCATGATCTATGGGGGCACATGTGATGGGTGGATCCATTATCAAGAGTCCAATTTTGATAGAATATTAATTATATGACACCATCAATACTTCATCTTCAATGAACCCGGATATACTCTTATATATGATTTGCTTCAATCTTGGATTCACTTGGCTTTTCACCTCTCGCATTAAGAGCTTTGGAAGAATTCACTTTATTTCTTTTAAAACAATTCTTCCTTATATGACCAGGCTTCCCACAATGCCAATACACATTATTGTTATTAAGCCATCTAGATTTTGATCGAAATCTTGAATTACTTCTTGAATGATTCCTTGATGAATCACCTCGTTCATTCGATCGACTTCTTGCCACAATAGCTTCCGTCATTTGATCGACCTCTAGCCACAAGAGCTTCCATTTTTAATTCCATCAAATTTCCCAAAGATTCCTTCTTTCGAAGTTCATCGACAAGTAGGGCACTACCCACCGAGCCCAAATCGAGATAATCTTTTTTACTACAACTCAATGTAGTAACAAGGTTATTATAGGATTCTGACAATGAACAAAGCAAGGTGGCCACTTTATCTTCATCATTCATATTTTATCTTCATCATTCATTCTCGCACTAATACTCTCAAGTTGACAAATGATGTTATTAAACGCATTCAAGTGTTACGACACATTTTCACCTTCTTTTATTATCAAGAAATACAATTTTCTTTTTAAAAAAAATCGGTTTGTGAGAGATTTTGTTTGATACAAAATTTCCAATTTTTCCCATAAATCTTTTATCGTCTTTTCACCAACAATATTAAACAAAACTTCATTCGCTAAACACAAGCGAATAGTGGCTCTTGCCTTCATATCGAGTTTGTCCCAATCATCATCAGTCATATTTATCGGTTTCTTATCTTTTCCAATTGATGTTTTGTGTTGTTATTGATATACCAATAAATCTTGTATTTTTAATTTCCAAATTTCAAAATTATCTTTCCCATTAAACTTCTCCACCTCAAACTTGTGAGATGTCATTTTCTCAAAAAATACTACACTAATTCCTTGAGCTCTAATACCACTTGTTATAAAATCGAGATAACCCAATCACCCCTTTTGTACAAATCGTGATATCTCAAATCCCACTAGATATGATAAGCACTACACCACAACGATTTCAACACTCAAATAACATGCCCAATATGCAATAACAAGTGCAATATAATTGCGAAAATATAAAAACAATAAAACAAGCAATATGGGAATTATCAAATTACAAATACAAATAAAAGTAGAGAGGGACACGCACATATATGTGGTTCACCCAAGATAGGCTACGTCAATGGGCAAAATGGCAAAAGTGTATTCACTATCCAGGAAAATTTATGAGATTGGGGTTATGTAGAGTTACCTCATAATCTCAAGGAAAAACTCAAATAAAAGAACTTTCTACCACCAAACCACCTAGAATCGACTCCTTTTTTCGATTCACCGATGCCGCGAAGATATGCCGATAAAATGACTCAACTTGAACCCAAATGGTGGCACTAGAGTTTGTGGCAAAACCCCTAAATTGTTTTCTCTACGTTTTTTACTTTCTCTCACTTTTCTTTTCACTCTCCTTTTCACCCAACCTAACGAGCTATAGAGCCTTATGAGAAATAATATTTTCATTATGACTAAAATAACCCTCATCATAATGAAAATGCCATGGTGTTGTTATTTGGCATCACGTCCCAACAGTTTTCTTTATCTCTGGCTTGCTCCACCTCGTTCGATTTCTTCTTAGGCCTCAATTGCCACCTCCAAGAGAACCAGAGCTCTCACACTCTGCAAATACTTTTCAGGCTCTCACTCTACATGCTCACTTTTGTGGGGGGAGCATCTCCTTTGATTTTTATGGAGTTTTCATTTCTTCTTTGGGGGACTCAATTGGGGTTTCTAGAGAGAGTGAGAGAGAGCAGTTTAGAGTAAGTGGTTATGGATGGTGAGAATGGAGGTGACCACGAATTTTAAAAGCAAGTGGAGATTGGGGTAGAGAGAGAGAGCAAAGGGGGTTGCCTTGTGTGATGGAAAAAAATTTAGTCCCACATTGAATTATTTAAAAAAGTAAGGTGAGGGGCTTTGCTATAAAAAAAAAGGATACGTAGAGTGAGAAAACACAAGAGGGAGCTTTGGATCCAGGGTTGGGTATTGGGTGGGTTTATTAATATCTAGACTTGGATCCATATCGGAAAACCTTCGGGTCTATTATGGATCAAGGGTTGGGTATTGGGTGGGTCTCTTAATATCTAGACTTGGACCCATATCGGAAAACCTTCGGGTCTATTATGAAGGATTTGGATCCTACCTGCAGGTCAAAGGCTTAGACCCATAGTTGGATCCATGTCGTGTATACTTGGTGGGTCTTGGGTTGGATTTGTCATGTATATCATTGTTTGTTGGTTTGGCCAGTTACGGTGATCAATCAGTATTTAAAAAAAAAAATTCAAAAAAATGTATATACATTTTTTTAAATAAGGAATTTGATTTATAATGCATTTCTAAATATTCTTTACATTATGGTAAAGATTAAAAATTGATTTGATCATTAATACTCACTTTTATATTTTAAAAAAAATTTAAAAATAATCCTTGACAAATATAAAATGGGTTAAAGTCTATATTTTTCAATAATTTTCAAATTCATTTGAATGTATTTTGTTTTAATCATTCTTTATATGCTTTTCATATTTTAGTAGATTTTTTTTGTAATATTTTTCAACACTTTTTTTTACTGCACGAGACTTGCCTGGCTAGAGCAGTTGAATCGACCGGTTTATCAATTAGGCCGGTTAACCACTTTCAAGCCCATGTCCGGTTACCCGTTCTATATCAATTTTGCGAACACTGGTGTATACCCGGCGGGTCACCTGGTTATGCTGTTTCGTTGGTTAACCAAAGCCAAGCCTAAGGGGAAGAGTTTACTTCCTAGTTTTCAAGGAGAAAAAAACAAAAAATGTCTTGAAAGTATTGCACCTAGGTGGTCATCGATACATAACTACCTATTTTCAAATTTCTTTACGAAAAGCGAATCACCTAATTATATTGGAACCAAATCTGAATCCTAATGTCATCGTCCAGCAAATAAAAAATCACATTAAAAACCAAAATTCAAGTGTTTGCCTTTTTTTCATAAATTCCGCGGTTTCATTAAAACACCAAGCAAAAGTAGTCAACCCATTTTTTGGTAACAAAATTAAATTTTACAAGTTCATGTTTGGTTAAGTAGCCCTCTTGTTGTTGCCGTATATCATTAGAATAAAAAAAAGAAGTAAAGTTGGACCTTATTATCCAAATAGACCAAAATACTTTGATATTAGAGCAAAGGGGAGTACTATTGAACCAAGTTGAAGAACAATAACTCTTACAAAATCTTCACCCTTAAACGTGGGTGAGATTCCCTTGCTTAATTATCGAACTATAGCATAACTAAATCGAAAACAAAAATATAAAAAGTTAGTTCCTACGAGTGGCTAGTCTTAATCATTGGATACATAACTTCCTAAGGATTGAAATGATGGGGAAAGAAGAAACAAAACAAACTTGAGAAGGAATGCAAACCTTCTACCACTTGCATTCAAAAGTTTGTGCATTGAATGCACAATTTATAGCACATGTAGCAATAGTGCTTCGATAAGATCCAAAACTCAAATTTGCCCCTTCTTTTCTCCTTCTGATCCTCCCCATAGCTGCACTCGTTCAATCGCAGATGCAGCCTATATTATGAAAACAATTTAAACAGACACAGATTTGAATCAGTTTAGCTTTGTTTATGTAGATGCTAACAATCTCCAGAATTGGTTTCTCACCTCTTTGTTCCAATTAGTCCGCCAAATGATAAATAACAGTATTAAGGTTTGCAATGCAGTTCCACAAAGCATACCGGTCCAGATGCCCTAGTAAGATGTGAATTGCCAGAAAGACTATGTAAGCCCAAAGCATGACAAAATTAAGTAAATACCTAAGAGTATCAGCTGAGTGACGATAATAGTTCTCGATATATTATAGATGGGGCATTTCATCAGAATAATTCCAGGACTTCAATATATTAATTGACATGTAGTTTATTTGGGAATTCAGCAGATATTTACTGGGACTGTAATATTAAACATATTATTTATCATGGAATAACATTTTAGTTATATATGAAAAGTTATTACGCAATTAAAAAATAAATATGCTAATAAGTTTATAGTTATATATGAAAAGTTATACACAATTAAAAAAGAAATATTTTAATAAGTTTATAAAAGATGAAGTTGACAACAAATTCTACAGTATATCAAAATTAAAATATCAAAAACCACCATCCAATTTAATGGCTTTGACTTGTATATCCATTATCATTTACTTGCAAATTGCTTTCCATTTGCCTTATTTAGATTTCAGGGTGACATGTTTGTTATTCAAACACAAACTGCAGATGACATACATGTTATCAGAATGAGTTCTTTATCGTGAGAATAATAGGTGTGACAAAATATTGCAAAAAAGAATTATCGAAATATTATCTGGTCATCAACATTAGAACTAATCATGATAATTAAAAAAGAAAACATAAAAATGAATTTGTAGAAGATAAATGTCTCTAAGATTATCAGTAAATATGACAAGCCCCAATGGTAATCAAAATATAGAGAAATGCAGACTAGGTCATGAGAAGACGAGCAACCAGGATTGAAGGGTAGAGAATTACATTTATTTATTTGGCCAAAAAGTAGGTGTATTGTATTTTGAAATTAAAGCAAGAAACAAAGAGGGGCCTTTAGCTTTTAAACCATGAACTCTCTTGTTTAAACTAAATTCCGATTAAAGAAAAAAGAATTATTTTCTTTATCATAAGAAAAACGAAGTTAAGAGTTAACCTTAACACCCATGTTGAACATGTAACCTAAAAAGAACCCAAGAGGAAGCCCAAGAATATAGTAGCAACCCAAATTTATATAAGCTACTAAAGCTTGCCATCCTCCACCCACCGCAACACCTGCAAATACCAATTAAAAGTATAAAGCACCGACCTCAATTAATAAAATACATAATTAGTGAAATGGTGATCACACGTTAAAAAGAAATAAAAACAGCAATATGCCATAGGAAGAAAGAGATGAAAAGAATGCAAACTATACAAAAATATTGCTCTCTCTCTCTCTCTCTCTCTCTCTCATGTACACAAAATATGTGGCGCCTGATGTGGCAAAACAGTGAACGAATTGCCTGAAATGACAGGTTGGATGCTGTTAAGCACCATGGTCACTGCAAGAATGGGAGCCAACTTAGAGACAGCTTGTTGGAGAATGTCACTACTTGTAAAAAGGACGGCAAAATGGTTACGGGCTACAAGAATGATAAAACTGAAGAAAAGCCCAATAATCAGAGACGTAATAAGCACCACCACAACAGCGATCTTTGCAGCCCTTGGATGGCCACAGCCGAGTTCATTTGAAACCCGAACACTGCAAAATAAATTCCAAATAAGGAGCTGGTATATATTATCATTTTCATCAAAGAATCATAAGAAAGAAGAAGAAGAATATTCACAATAATCATCAAGAGCATAGTATGTCTTTAATAAAAACTGATTGAAACGGGCTAGCACCTGATGGCGGCATTGAACGCAATGAAAATCATGGCCTCCCCCCCATTGACATTCATGCTGAAAAACAAAAACAGTTAAAACACGTCGTCATCAAGCAATCCTTCATCTTCTTGTACATTTTTCTCTTTTTCAGAATAATTACTTCCAATGGATGTAGATATAGAAAATTTGGTGCTCTACATTTTATAAGTTGTCAAATGCAGTCAATTTTTTGTGGTGTTTTCTTCTTACGATGTTTCTTGCTAATATTATGGGACTTTCCCATGTAGGGCAATACCAAGTTAACCCGATTTGTGTGCAACTCAGGGTTCAAAAAAAAAATCCAAAACATTGCAAAAAAAGATATGGGTATGTTGTATAAGATTTTGGACGTTTTTGGCATAGATCGGTGAGTTGTTTTTTTTTTTTTTTTCATAGTCCCTATTTTTATATTTTCCGTTTTTGGATTTTTTTTTGAAATGTCCCAACATTAAATCAATTTTTTTTTTAAATCCATTTTTCTATACTTCTTTAAAGCATACTTGGACTTTTTAAGTTTTTTTGGGTTTTATTTTACTTTAATACATTTATTTTATTTTTCACATTTTTATGATGTTATTTTAAATTTTTCCAGGGCTTTTTGGTCTGTATAGGACATGACTCAATCCACTCAGACTCGGCCGGCCAAGACCTCGTTCTCTACGATTTCTTCTTGTATTTGTAATATAGAAAACCTCGTTCTCTACGTTTTCTAAATCACCATTTTCAGTTATTTCTTTTGTGGGCAGCATCTTGCTATTGAAGTTATCAGAGGGTCAACTGCATTACCCTTATCTCACTTAAAGGAAATGCTCATCCACTCAATTGGAATATGGACTAACACAATATAAATAAATTAGAAAATAGAAACCCAATTAAAATTTCAGACTGAGGATTAGATAGTCTGTAATACAGCACTGCACTATTCCACAAGGTTTTAGGTTTGATTTCCAGATCAGCCCAAACAAAACTACACTAATTAATAATAAATTATCTCAAACACAGGAGAGAAGAACCACAGACATGAAATAAGGAATAGAATTTCAACTTTCAAGTAACAAGCACTGATGGAGAGCATCCTTAGAATTTAAAGTGAAGCTTTCTTATGCAAGAACAGAGTTTAGTATTAGAAAGCTAAGTTGACAAGAACCCAATAAGCCTCCCCAAGCCTACTTGACTTATCTCTACCCCCTTAGATATAAATGTCTAGCAAAAATAAGTAATCCTATTATAATTTTGAGAAGTTCAATTTATATTCCTTATCCCTTCTGCACTCTATCATCCCTGCTCTAATTACTAAAGAATCCCATAATTAATTAATGAAATCATAGATCAAACCCACAAGCTTCTAAGCTATATAACAGCAATCGAGAAATAAGAATACAAATTATTAGAGCTCACCATATGGAGATCGAATCGACGGCAATCTCTGGATTCTCAAGATGGCCTGTGAGCACAGTTAGTGACATCATGTACCATACCTCCAAGCAAAGCATAACAGCTGAAGCCAAAGAAAGCCTCACAAAGGCCCACATGTCCTTGAAGGCCAGCCATGAAAGGCCATTCCATGCATCTTTACACCAATACACCACATAAACAGTTTGAGCAATTGAGATGAACCAAGCTGACACATTCACGACAACCGCGGCACCAGGAAGACCCCAACCGAATAGCCAAACAAAGACCCACAGAAGCAAAATATGGATAACGAGAGCTATGAATCCGATCCATGTAAAGGCCGCGAATTTGCTCTGAGATTGAAGGAACTTTTGGGTAGGGAAATTAATGGCAAGTGCAAAGATTTGGGGTATTGTCCAGATTGTGAATTTGCCTGCAAGGTTTGAGATAGCTCTGTCTTGGCCTAAGAGCACGAGAATTGGGGTCGAGAACACATACACAGGGACAAGAAATAGACCAGTGACGAGGAGGATTATCCATGAACGCTGCAGATAGATGCCCAGCATTTCGACCTGGCCTGCTCCAAATGCTTGGCCGCACAGTGTCTCTGCAGCGCTCCCCATTCCCAGCTGCAAGTTGAGGAGAAAATGTGGTGAGGGTGGTGAGGATGCATTTCTCTCCAAGCAAATGTTCGACTTGTAATAGTGGGTAGAGCCCTTCTTGTGCAGATAACCAAACAAGAAGTCTACCTCTCTCTAAACCAAAAGTTGGGCTTGTCGTAGTAAGTGAAGACTTCCTTTTTGTGAAGAAGTCTCAGTTTATCCGAAGAGACACCTTGGGTCCATTACTTACATGAATGTAGAGATTTGTCTTTTTATAGACAAATAAAAAAAATAAAAAAAATTACATATACTTAAACTATATCCAAACTTACCATAAATACAAATATTGTACCTATCGTTCTCATAAATCTTGATTACAATATATATCTTCTATATTAGCTTAGTAGAAGATATATACTTTCTTTTCAAACTTCTCCTCAATTTCAAGATACTATGAGAGAGTAGCTGGAATTTGAACACCAAATTATGAAAACGAGCGGTTGGATCTTCAGATGTGTAGCATGACCAATAGAAGCAATGATTGTCATGCTCAAATTGTTGGATCAACAAGAACATAAGAACAATCGATGAGGGCTAACTAAAGCAATGACAAATCAACAAGCCGTAGAGACAGAAGGTTCGAATAGATTTGGCTTGAGCAACAAACAAAAACTTCATATCTTCTTTAGAGACAGAAAAATAGTCGAAAGAGCTGAAAAAACAGAATGGCACTTGAAAGAGCCAACATAACTCGATGCATATCTAAGACAAATTCGACAGCTCACAAACCATAACATATAGGATCGAGTAACAGATTAACAAACTCGGTCTTACAGACAACGCAAAGATAACCTAAGAAACAAAATTTGTTTTTCTTTTTTTTTAACAAAGAATTAAACTAACCAACAAAAATCATTCACTCTCTCTCTAAGCTATAACAAACAAGACCCACAAAGTTCAAAAGATCAAAGGAATACGGTAGGCCACACAAGAGGACCACCAACCCACCAACCAGCAACAACCACAAAACCAGCAACCCCATTCAGTTTATCAGCAACTTCTTCAGTATCAACTAATGAAGCAAAAGCTTCATCACTAGCACGTGCACCTTCAACCTTCTCTCTTGCAACAAACCTATATGCAACAGCAACAACAAAGTAGGGTGGGCCTAACAGCACTACTAAGAGAGAGAAAAGCACATATTCGAAAAAGGTAAAAAATAGTGATAGAGGAAGAAAAACAAACAGTGATAGAGGGAGTTTCGGATCCAGAAGAGACAAACATGTAAGAAACTAGGAGAGAGAGAAAATTGAGCAAGAGGATGCAGCAACGGGGAGAACTTTCGATCTAGATTAGGAGTTTCAGATCCAAAGGAAGATGAAGAAGATCAAGGATACATAGTGGATTTCAAAGATGCGATTTCATATCTAAACAAGAATGTAGTAGCAACAGAGGTGATCTCGGATTCCGTAGGTAATTTAAGATTTTAGTTTTTTCTTCTTTTTTTTGCCGACGTTTCAAAGGGAAAAGTTTATATAGAGCCTAGGCTCTAAACAATCAAATTTGAGCCTACCTCAAAACTTTGACTAGAAGATGTTGTTTTGATACCCAATGATCATCTCGACCTCAAGATACATGGACATGAGAAAAAAATAGATTTCAAGTTTTCAAAATAGACATTTTGTAACTCGTCTTTGGACGGTCAATTTTCAAGATTTTCAGTTTTTCATAGATCTGTCGATCTACACTATTTTTTAAGTTTTAAACTTTATAAATAAAGATGAAAATATATTTTAAGAATGTCACAAATACTTCCAGAAACCGCACTTCTAGATACTATTTGAAGGTAGGCTCTAATTTGATTGTTCAGAGCCTAGGCTCTATACAGACCGCACCCATTTTCAAAGGAGGTTGTTTTTTCTTTTTTCTTGGACGAATTTTCAGAGGAGGGTTAATCTCAGATCTGGTTGTTTTTGGGTGTTTCAGAATTTCTTTTTTTTTTTGACGAATTTTCAGAGAAGGGTTAATCTCAGATCTAGCTGCATTGTGTGTTTCAGATTTTCTTTTTCTTTTTCTTTTCTAGGGTGAAGGATGGTTTTCCTGCAGATCTCTGGTGCTTGTTTCCCCGTAGATCTCAGGTCAAACTGAGTTTTCTAGCTAACTGTGAAATTGCGAGGATCCCATCATGTGCTCATCTTTATATGCTCCAACATGTGTTTAGAAATGCGGTTATCCAGGACATCAGTTTTAGCGACAACAGTAGGTGGATTATGATAAGTTCTTCCAAGGGAAGAAGCCATCTCTTTGCAATTTCTCCTTTTTGGTGGAAACATGGGTACACAGTCAAATGAGGTTATTATGGTCAACAGTGGTCATGATGGAATGTTTTCATTTACCAGACCGGGGGTTCCGTGGCCACCTACCTCATATTCTTCAAAGCATAAGCATTTTGTGCTTGATTTTCCAATCACTTTGTCGGCAGTGAGCCAAATAAGAAATGGGAATAATGGATGGAGGGCTACTGTGAATGATTCATATAGGTCAAATCGGGACAAGATCAAGTAATAGCAATCAGATAGGTCAAATCGGGATAGGATCAAGTAATAGCATATTAACAAACTCGATCGTTCAGGCTTTGATACCATGTGAAGAAGTATCAAGTTTTGTCTAAGATTTATTTCTATTATTATCATCTATAGTTGTCTATATAAGACAAGCTTGTATATTCATATTGATTACTGGACATTGAGTCTCTTCTGAGAAACCTGAGAATCTTCAAATAGTATCAAAACTAGATTCATCTTTGTTGTGTCCATTCCTATAAGATTATGGTACTCAAGCTACTAGATCGATTATGGATATACATTGAGTTTTGTAGGTTCTTCCAAATGTCATTTTGTTTTCTCGGTATTTGTACCGAGTTCTGTTGGTAGTTCCAAATGTCAGTCTATTTTCTCGGGCGACTCGATTGTTTTTCTTATCTCTAGAAAAAATCTGAAATTATTGTTTGTTGCTCAAACCTACTCTATTCGAACCTTCTGTTTCTGAGTATTGTTGATCTATGCGTTGTCCTGTGGTTCATCCGCTTGTTGATTAAGCAATCTGCGCAAAACATCCACTACTTCTACTAGTCATACTACGCACATAAATATAAAGATTCAACTGCTCATTTCTACAACTTAGAGTTCAAACTCCAATTGTTCTCTCTCATAGCATCTTGAATTTGAAAGGGAGTGTGAAAGAAAAGTACATATTATCTAGTAAGTTAATATAGAAGGTGTATAAATATAGAAGTTGTATATTATAATCAATATATGCCATTTTCATCGAGTTATGTTGGTTCTTACAAATGCCATTATATTTTCTCGGCCGACTCGATTGTTTTTCTCATCTCTGGAGAAGATATGAAGTTTTTGTTTATTTGCTCAAGCCTACTCTATTCGAGCCTTCTGTTTCTGATGACTGTTGATCTATGCACTGGCATGTAGTTCCTCTGCTTGTTGATTAATCACTCTATGTATGGCAACCATTGTTTCTACTAGTCACACTACACGCATAAAGATAAAGATTCAATTACTCATTTCTGTAACTTAAAGTTCAAACTCCAATTGCTCTCTCTCATAGCATCTTGAGTTTGAAGGAGAATGTGAAAGGAAAGTATATATTGTCTACCAAGTTAATATAAAAGATATATAAATATAGAAAGTACATATTGTAATCAGTACATATGAAAAGGATAGGTACAATATCTTGTATTTCTATGTAAGTCTGAGTGCCTTGTGATTTATTTATATTATTGTTATCTGTATTTGCTTATATAAAACAATCTTATATATTTATATTGATTAATGGACACTGAGTCCCTTTAGATAAACCTTAGACTCTTCACACTTTTGTAGATAACCAAAGTAGGGATCTCTTGCTCACCAAAATTTGGACTTGTACAATAGATTACCAAAATGTTGTTCTCTCTCTCCTACCAAAATGTCTCTCTCTCTCTCCTCTACCATATGTTCAGGTTCTGGCAATGGGGAAATCTATGCCTAATAGATAATCAAAAAATGGATTCCCTCTCTTTATCATGTACAGAAAGGTACTCAGCAAAGAAGAAGGTGGTCATAAGTGTTCTCTCTATAATGTTCTCGTAAAAAAAAAAAAAAATGCACATGACGCAGGAGACAATGAGGAAGTGTTCCAATGCGTGTTGAAAAAAAAGTTTTAAACCACCCGACTAATCTAACTATCATTTATTTTTATAGCAAATTCAACGAAGAAAATACTCTTATTTTGGACAGGAATATGTCAAAATATTTAGAGCGAAAAATTATCCCAAATTAAAAGTTTTTTAGAGAGAAAACCTATTTTATAATTTTTAAAATCATCTCAAATTTCTTAAAAAGAAACTATATTTAAATAGAATCAAACTTTTAAAAAGAAAAAATATAATATTTTTAGACAGGGAATCATGGGTTTATACATAAGAGGTATTTTCAGCCAAAATAAAGCCCTTGAGATGGCACTAAAAATAAATAGTAATTTAGTTAGCCCCTAACATAAAAAAAAACTAATGCTTTTTTTTTTAAAACAGTTACGCAGCCTACTTAACACAACGCACTTCTTTTACCCGGATGAGTTTAAAACTGAGACAAAAAGAATCCTTGTATTATATCTTCCAACCGTAGACTAATTCTAACGGCTTTTGACCCTAATTGTTAGACCAAACAAATCTTAAATAACATACCTTTTTAAAACCGTCATCTCTCTCTAGGCATTATTTTCCCCAACTCTCTCTCTCTACAGATTTCCCCAACCCTTCTTTCTGTCATCCCCAACCTCTCTCTCCAGCCTGCCGCACTCTCTCTCTCCCCTTCTAGATTCAAAGCTTAGGAGTTAAAAGGAAATCACCCATCTGACTCAACCTCCCAAAAATGAGTCGTGCGGCTTTCACGTGAGGAGAGAGGATTGGTTTTACAAAAATAACATGATTTTAAAATTTATTTGGATTAACAAAATAGATTACAAATAGG